ACTGGCTAACAAGCTCATCTGGGGAACAAACCAGGTGTACTGCCACATGACTTCCACTTTCCAAAGAGTGAACTAGCCACCCAATCAGCCATGATCAAGTCATTATCACTCTGACCTGTTTTGATCCATTTCTAAACACTTCTCATTCATTTGTTCATATTTTCCTCTCCCTATTATCCTATTTCTCACTTTGGAAAGTTTACTTTCCTACATCTGCTAACCTAGAAAAAAAGTTTATCTATTACCAACACTGAGAAAAATAGGATTTATGCAGCCATAAAAAGGAATGTGACCATGTGCTCTGCAGGGATGTGGATGAAGTTTGAAGCCATTATCCTCAGCAAACTAATGCAGGAAGAGAAAACCAAACACTGGCCAGGTGTGGTGGCTCATGCCTGTAATCCCAGCACTTTGGGAGACCAGTGCGGGCAGATCACCTGAGGTCAGGGGTTCAAGATCAGCCTGGCCAACATGGTGAAACCCCATCTCTACTGAAAATACAAAGATTAGCTGGACGTGGTGGTGTGTGCTTATACTCTCAGCTACTCAGGAGGCTGAGACACAAGAATCACTTGAACCTGGGAAGTGGAGGCTGCAGAGAGCTGAGATCCTGCCATTGCACTCCAGCCTGGGTGCCAGAGCAAAACTCCCTCTCAAAAAAGAAAGAAAAGAAACAAAACAAAGAGAAAAAAAAAAGAAAGACCAAATACCACATGTTCTCACTCATAAGTCGGAGCTGAATCATGAGAACACATGGACACATAGGGGAGAACAACACACACTGGGGCCTGAGGGAGGGGAAGATGGGGGGAGAGAGAACATTAGAACAGCTAAAGAATACCTGGCTTAATGCCTAGGCGATGGGATGATCTGTGCAGCAAACCACTAAGGCACATTTACTTATGTAATAAACCTGCACATCCTGCATGTGTACCCCTGAACTTAAAATAAGAGTTGAAGGAAAAAAAAGAATTTTTAAAAAGAGAAGGAAAAAAAAGGATTTATACAAGGAATGGAGGGAAACCAAGAAACCAAGAACCCTATTTCATTCACCCCTCAAGTCCAAACTCCTTCTATGTAATTCCTTTTCTTATTGTTGAACTCTTGTACTAATGGGTATGGGCAGATCAAATTAAACTTATTTCTTCCAAACCTGAGAGAGAAGGCTTCTTTGTATGAAGTGGATGTGGGAAAAAGAGAAAAAAAGAATGTATATTTAAAACACTCAAAGCACAGTCGATGAAGGGTAAGACAGCTGTTAAAGCACTTATGGACAGTCTGCCACGGTGTGAACGTGTCCCCCAAAATTCATTTGCTGAAACTTAGTTGCCAATGTGATAGTGTAAGAGGTGGGACCTTTAGGTGAGGATGACTCATGAGCAAGATTATTGACCTTATAAAAGGTTTTTTTGGCCAAGCAAGGTGGCTCACGCCTGTAATCCCAGCACTTTGGGAGGCCGAGGTGGGCAGATAACTTGAGGTCAGGAGTTCAAGACCAGCCTGGCCAATATGGTAAAACCCCGTCTCTACTAAAAATACAAAAATTAGCTGGGCATGGTGGTGCGTGCCTGTAATCCAAGCTACTACGGAGGCTAAAGCAGGAGAATCACTTAAACCCAGGAGGTGGAAGTTGCAGCGAGCTGAGATCACTCCACTGCATTTCAGCCTGGGCAACAGAGCTACCGCTTATTTAAAAAAAAAAAAAACAAAAAAAACAAACTTTTTTTGTTTGTTTGTTTGCTTTTTTTAAACTGGCTCCAACTCTCAAGCTGGACCTTACAGAATTGTATAGGGAGCTGCTTTGCCCTTCTACCATATGAAGACACAGCAACAGACAGCCTATCCTTAGCAGACATAAAAATCTCCTGGTGCTTTAATCTTAGACTTCCCAGCCTCTAGCACTGTGAGAAATAAATCTCTATTATATAGAAATTACTCAGTCTAAGGTATTTTGTTATAGCAGTCTGAATAAACTAAGAGAACATCTAACAGAAGGAAGCCATTTCTGGCTGCATATTTACTGCTGGAAACCAATGCCTGGTGTGGATCCTCTGAAATACAAGAAAGATTGGATAGGAAAAAAGGCACCTATTTTATCTGCCTTTGCAGAAAACCAACTTTCTTAGCTAAGTTACTCCCCATTCTCTGTCCCCTGGGAAAATGCAATAAAAACAGCATAAAATGTTTGGTACTGAAGAAAAAAATTTACCCGTTCAGTCTTTCTCTCCCTTGATTCTGCCACTATCCTGGGTACCTTGACCACCAGTGTGGAAAACCCAACAAGGCGGGAATTACTACTCCTTGACTTCAACTCCAGTGATCTCTGCCTCCTCTGTATGTCAGTCCCCCGCCCCACCCACAGCCTGGGCATTGTTACCACGTAGAGCTGTTCCACGTTAGAAGTAGAGCTGTTCCACGTTAGAAATCTTGACCTCTGGGAACCTATTTGCTGACCACAAGCTCACATCTTCCCATCCCTTTCACGCCTTCCTGCACTCACACTCCACCTGCTTTTGTATTTCAGAGATCTCCAGGCCCTTGACAACACATTTTCTCTATGCTGACAACCTAATCTACTCCTTCACCAAAATTCTTAATTCCCTTGTAACTCAATCCTCCTACTGCACATACCAAGTAACCTTCCTCTCTCTAGGGAAATGTCTGGGGCTTACTACTGAAGAAACTCAGAAAACCTCGCAAACTGATGTTGCTCGATCCACAGCTGCCAACTCCAATGGGGCGGGCCTTCATCAGTCCTTCTGTTTGGGTTCTCAGCAGCCCTCCCATATCAAACTGGCAGTACTTTCCTCAAGCCCACATCACTCATTAGCTTGCTTGCTCCCTCCCTCCCATTCAGTCTCTACCTGCCTTCTCTCAAGGTCTCCAGGATCTGGTCCCATCTACTTCTGTAGCCCCTCATACTCCAGTTTAACCTTCTCATAATCTGGAACAGCTTACAGCTCCCCATGCACACCAGCGGTCAAAAGCATGGGCTTTAGACCTAGGTTCAAGTTCCAGTTCCACTGTTTTGAGACCTTGGGCAAGTCAAGTAACATCTTTGAAACTAGGTGTTCTCTTCTATGAACTAAAGATAAAACTACTTTCTTGGCACACTGAGGGGCACACGATATGCCCTCAATAAAGTGAGATATTGCTGTGATGCTACTACTTGTGCTCCTCATACTGCCGGCTCCGCCTGCAATGTCCTTTCTCCCTCCTTGCAAACTTTACCTGCCTAACAACTGACATTTCTCTTTTAAGATAATTCAGATGAGAAGAGGAAAAAAAAAAAAAAAGATAATTCAGATTCATTTTAAGGAAGGTTTCAGTGAAACCTCACTCTGACTCCCTTACTCCCTGAGTTAAGTTCTTCCTTTCTGTCTTCCAATACGAACCGTGAGACAACCCAGAGCAAGAAACCATTCCCCCCACCCGAGACAGAGTCTCACTCTGTTGCCCAGGTTGGAGTGCAGTGGCGTAATCTCAGCTTACCGCAACGTCTGCCTCCCGGGTTCAAATGATTCCCCTGCCTCAGCCTCCCGAGTAGCTGGGACCACAAGTAGGTGCCACCACACCTGGCTAATTTTTTTGTATTTTAGTAGAGATGGGTCTGGTCTTAAGCTCCTGACCTCAGGTGATCCATCTGCCTCAGCTTCCCAAAGTGCTGGAATTACAGGCGTGAGCCACTGCGCCAAGCTAAGAAACCATTTTTTAAAAAATTCCTCTATCTTCTACCACAGAATCTGCTACAAAATAGATACAACAAATTGCTCAACTAAAGTCAAATTTTAAAGAACACCTCCATGTTCTTATCTTAAGGGATGCAATTTTCTTACCACTGTGATGCACTAGAGCCCCATGCTCTATCTTCTTTTTCATGTCATAAATGTGAATTGTTTCATCTTTGCTCCCAGTGACCACAAAACGACTATTTACAGCTACTGCTGACAAGGAGGCAGTGTGAGCATGGTGAGTGAAGTCAGCCACAGGAGTCCATTGCTGCTGAAGATGAAAACCTACAATTAATGCCACAGTCACACCACAGTTTTACCAACTATCCACTGGTAGTTTTCATGAATCATGGAACCATTTGTCGGTTACTGAAAAGATAAATCGTTCCGCAATTCATGAAAATTATCAATGGATCCTACAAATGGAAAAATGACATGTAAAACTACACAATGACATGTAGTTTAACACAAAGGACTTGAGACTTCTTAAGAAAGAAGCAAGGAGGTGGGAAGGCAACGCTGGGTATCACCACTCTAGAACACAGTAATGGAGACTGGACAAGAGAAGACTTTTAGATCCTACGCAAATCCTTTTTTTTTTTTTTTTTTTTTTTTTTGAGACAAAGTCTTTTTTTTTTTTTTGAGACGGAGTTTCGCTCTTGTTACCCAGGCTGGAGTGCAATGGCACGATCTCGGCTCACCGCAACCTCCGCCTCCTGGGTTCAGCAATTCTCCTGCCTCAGCCTCCTGAGTAGCTGGGACTACAGGCACGCGCCACCATGCCCAGCTAATTTTTTA